TGTCAATCAGTACTACCCTGGACAAAATCTTTTCACAAGGAGCTGTACTGTTACCAAAGCTTACATTCTAAGGGTGCGTACAGATTTGGCGAATGCCCTGCATGTGTAACGCGCGCGTGTAACTAAGGTACGCCTCTGTACTAGATAAGATAAGATAAGATAAATTTATTTCAACATAACTTAATCTAAATATGAGTAAAAAAAACAAAAACAAATGTAAGGGAAGCTAATATGCAATTGGTAAAAAAAAAACCTTAATTATTATACTAATCATAAAGCTATACAATTAATTATTAGAAGCCTACCAGTATAGTTGCGATGCCTAAACTAAGTACATTATTACCTGTATCTTAAGCATCTTGTTTGTGCACAGATTCATTATATTAGTGCTTAACATTGACTTACAATTATATGGACGTCGGGTCCGCGCTAAAAAGTGTCCGCACTTGTAAGGCGCTAAAATCGTATACAGAGCGCGACACTCCGCTTTAGTCTTCATTTGTTCTACGGACAGCGCGATACTGCGATGACATAACAATTTAAATTTCGAATAGGTTGACTTGGGACATTTTTTTCGTGATTTTTGTATTAGACCCGTCGTCCATTTATTTGTAAGTCAATGGTGCTTAAAAACAAAATAGCTATATTTAATTAAGAATAAAACAATTAGTTTTTACAATATAATTATGAAATAACTTCTTGTAAACCTTCTGTTTCATCATAGTTTTTATTTTTAAGCCAGCGTTTGCGTTTGTGCTGGCATTTCATAATGAGTACTGCCACCTTACCTATTTCTACCGCCAAGCTGCATTAGTGCGTTCCGTAAGAAAGGTACTGGTGAAATTTCAAGTACATGGGACTTGTCAACTTATGTCTTAGAGTGACGGGCGCAGTGGCAGTACCTCTCAGATCTTTGCGATTTAAACTGGCATTGCAACTATTGGTGGGTGTGTCGTGTACCACCTGATACATGACTTATTCATCCCGTTGCTTCGTATCATAATTTGATCCCGTTTTGGACACTTGATAACTTTATGTCTCAGGGTGACGGGCGTAAAGACAGTGCCTCTCAGATTTTTGCGATTGATAGCTTTGTGCAGCACTTGAATGGACAGGCGTGTCGCTTACCACCAGGTGTACAACTTGTTCGTCCCCTCAATTATTGATAGTGATGTAGTTTAAATTTTGTTTACAATTCCTTTACGTTAATTTCTTTAAATATTAAATAATTTGAAATGAAACTATTTTTCCGGATTTAAATCGCGTATATTTGTTTCTTCAAACAAACCGACGTTTCGGGCCCTTTACAGGTCCCATGGTCACGGTTGACTGAGGTGGTACAGTCTTCAACCAGTTATGTCTAATATTGATGCAAACCACCCTACTTTTTCACTATAGTTACAATAGTTATTAATTAAATACTTTATTTTTAATTTTACAAAGAAAACATTCCAATTTACGCTATATTAAGTTTTACAAATTATTTTATTGAATGAATTTTTATTAAGTTCAATTTATTATTAATTATTAATAGAAATTAGAATAAACCAAAACATATTAATTAGTACTGCAGTCTTATGTCTGTTTGGGATTTTTAATTAGAGGAAATACTGGATCCCAAACTGGTGGTACGGAGAAACCATCTTCCCTGTTGAAATTAGGATGTTTTTTAATTTCAATGGCCTCTCGCAGCATCCTGGGTCGATAACGGACTTCTTTTGCAAGGACCTGGGGTTTATCAAACTTCATTGAATGTGTAGGTTTATCCATGACATGCTCGCAGACTGCAGACTTGTTTACGCGACGGTGTTTGGCATCAGCTATATGTTCTTTGACGCGGGTACAAGCGACGTATTTGTACCTTACTACTTATGCTTATATAAGTAGATTTAGAGTTTTATAACATCAATAAATTGGAATACCAAGTGACGGGACGAATAAGTCGTGTGCATGGTGGTAAGCTTCACGTCTGTCCGTAACAGTTGCAGTGCCACTGCGCCTGTCACCCTGAGCCATAAGTTGACAAGTGTCTGTATAATTTTACAAAACCGTGGCAGAATGCCTGGACGAACTCTTCACAAGCAGCTCTACATATACTCATCTATAATAGGTGTCCAATGGTCAGTACATAACTATTTGTAAATAGATAGGATTTCTTGATAAAACGGTGGCATGATACGGTCAACCTCATCATTACCATTCAACAATACATAACGTAAATCATAATATATTATTATGTTGACATTGACATAATAAATTGTCCATGACTGGTCACCATCACGGTAATTACGTATTTCCAGTGTACATTATGTATAATGTTTTACATAATTATTGCCAGTAATGTGACACTTGTTAAATAATGTATAGGTTTTATTGTAATGGACAATTTCCATAATGTCAAGTATTTAATAGCTAAGGTATAAAAAATACAATAAAAACGTAAATACTAAAAATGAAAACTACTATTAAATTATATAAATAAATATGGGTCCCGCGGCAAGGTGCCCAAGATGCTGGCAGCGTTCCCCCTTTGTATAGCTATGCTAATACGTTGGGCGAGATAGATTGGGTTTCCCAGGCAGTCTATTAATTTTTTTGATAAAAATTTGTAAAGGTGACGGGTATCGGGACTCCACTGACCGAGGGTTTCGATTCCAAAGCACTTATTACTCTTTAGTTACCAGCTCAATTGCAGAGTCAGCCCTCTTGTTGGTGTACTGGAGATGGGATAGGGTAAGCGTGTCGACACACATGGCGTTACACATCACTGCCCGGCCCATTCTCTAATGGATGAGTGTCATTCCGTCCGGGCATTTGAAATCCGTTCGTGACATGTCGCTTAGTTCGAGTACAGCGGCATAAGTTAACTGTGGTTAAGGCCCGGCGGATGATGTCATTGAAGGGCTGCATGCGGGGAGTAATGGCCGGCGAGTAGCTGGCAGGAAAGAACATGGCGACCAAGGTCACTTATGTCCTTGCCACAAGGGAAATATAATACTAGAAAAGTAAACACTTTTCACGGGCATTTGGCGTTGAAAAAGAAATTTCAAAAAATCTAAAATATACGTTGCTAGCAGTAGCGCTCCTTGTCAAAGAGTCGTCCAGGGAAGTACTGCCATCTTACCTATTTCTCATATTCATGTCCTATGTGCCTGTAATTTTACCCGCACCCTTTTACCCTTCAAAACCGGATCGCAGTAATGCTCACATTACCGCTTGGCGGCAGAAATAGGTAAGATAATAATAATAATAACAACAACGCACATACTCAACAGAGCCCCGCACTAGGGAGACCCTTTGTCGCGGGTGTCATGGACACACACATAGACATATACAAATTACACCCAAACTCACGAGAGAAATAAATGTAGGCCATATAAATATTTCTTTCGGCCCGGGAATCGAACCTGGGACTTTACTATGGCAGTATTTCCCTGGACTAAATCTTTCACAAGGACCTCTACTACTAAACTACTTATTTACATAGTACCCACCGAAGAATACAACA